CCCTAGCTTCTAGCATTAAGAAAATGGAAGAAGATAGGAAGATTTAGGTGTAAGAAGCTTACCTTTAATGTTTTATAGCTCTAAAGTACTTCTAAAGGTTGATTTCCTCAAGCTCTAACACTGCTCTTTTTATTTCTCTTCACCTCTCTTTGTTTTTCCCTCTTCTGTTGCATTAGTTCACATTTTTATTTTGCAAAAAAGTGTCATGCACCGCGACTGATGCATCATGCGCAATGGTGCATGGCACAGAGAACATCTCCCCCAGGCGTGTCAACATGCATGCGCCTCAGTGGCCTAATCCATAAGCTACAGTGCGTAGCACAAAGCTTTACCCTTTAAATTTCTTTCCTCTTTTTATTCCTAAGTGACCCTTGAATCTCCTTCGAACTCGCTTTTAGGGCTGAAATTAAAATCAAACATGCCTGTTACACCTCTCTGGCCGTATTCCTCTTTAATAAACTCAATTTAATCAATTTTAGGCTTAATTAATCCATTGTAAAATTTGAAGATGTTATAGGAATAACTTCTGGTGCATGTGTGGGATTTTGGACACCTTCATATTGTGAAAAGTGTGAATTTTTTAGAAATTGTGTTTGGGTGCCAACTCCCTTGTGTGAAATAATTTAGGAGAGTAAAACTAATGTCATTAGCTGGTTTATAAAAAGAGTTTTTTGTAGACACTTAGATCACCTCGATCAAATATCAAATGGAGAAATGGGGAGCATTAAAAGTCACCCTTGGATGTTGTTGTATGATGGCAAGTTGCTGTCTAATCTTATGCAGCATGTCACGGTGCATGGAGCTTGCGTTGCAACTCGCTGCATAAAGAAGGACAAGCCATGGCGCATGCACACATGCTGTGATGAATTCCTTTATTCTTTACTCCTTGATATTTTCCAATTAGTTTTGAGTTTGTTTGACTCTCAAAAGGTATTTCATGCTTCCGTTATGATATTTCACTCCAATTTAAGTTTAATAAATGATGCTTAAAATATTTTCTGAGTATGAAAACTTTGGATCCTATTTTTACAAATATTATAAACTTGGTAATATAATAAGATGAGTCTAATGATTGCCTTAGGTTTTATATTAAATGTGACTTAGTAAGGGTGACCTTACAATCTCACTTCCCTACACAACCACTTATCCTCCCAAAACTTCACCCTCTCACCATTATTCACCTTCTACCCAAGCTTCATTACAATTTCAAGCCAAAGCTTGTCCAACTTTTTCCACCAAGCTAAATCATATTTTTACAAGTGCATTTAATGCTTAAATCATCCTTCCTTTTATATTTAGCACAAAGCATCCGTGAAGACAACTTATTCTGTTTTGCCACAACATCCCAACCTACCTTGCATAAAAGAGCTTCATTCATGTTCTTCATTTTTGTGGCCCTAATCCACCAAGCACTTTTACCATACAAAGCCTATCCCAACCTATGACATGTACTCTTCTTTTCTCAGCCAAAGACCTCCATATAAAATTTCTCTAAAAAAAAATTTATTTTATAGAGATTTTATAAGGACTAACATTGTTTTATGTATAGCTACAATAATAAAAAAGGTAATTATAAGTTAGTTATTTGTTTAAATTTTATGATATCTTTCATAATTTCTGCTTTATAAAAACAATTTATTATTCTTTCATTTAAAAATTTTATGATATCCTCATATATCTTGCTTCTTTAAAACACTATTTCTCATCTACTATATTAGATTATTTTTAAAAGTTATTCAAAATAGTTTCTTAAGATAATCAAAAATATATTTTTTTGGATTCTAATTATTTTCAAAATTTTAAACAAATATAAAAAACTATAAAATAGATTTTTAAAAAAAGAAAAAGAAATTTTTTTCATAAAATAAGTTGAAACAAATGATCTAAAACATCATAAAAACTTATAAAATAAATTTTTAAAAAATAAATATTTTTTTCATAAAATAACATAAAACAAACAGGCCCTCATTTTGAAAAGATTTTATAAAAAGTATATATTATTTTATGTTTAGTTACAATAATTTTAAAATAATTATTAGTTAGTTATTTTTAAATTTTGTAATATCTTTATTGATTTCTGTTTTATTAAAATAATTTTTTATTTAATTATTTTTAAATTTTATAATATTTTCACGCATACAATATTTCTAAATATCTAACTATTTTTAAAAGCAACTAAAGTAACTTATTAAAATAAGGATAAATTGGTCCACTAGTAAAAAAAAAAATCTTGTGCCCAAAAAATATGAATCAAATTTTTTAAAATTTAGGATTGTGACTAATTCACATTGATATACAAAAAATTTATCATTGATATATAAGAAATTTATCATTAAAAATTTAAAAATTTAGAAATAATTTATCATTGATATATAATGATATATCATTAACAAATATAATACATCGATCATAATGCAAATATAATAAATGTTAGTTTGTTATATCTATAAAAGTTCTTTAAAATAATCAAAAATCTACTTTTTATTAGATTTTGATTACTTTTAAGAATTTTAAAAAATATATCATAAAAACTTGTAAAATAAATTTTTTAAAAAATATAGGTGATTTTTTTATAAATTAAATTGAACTAGATAGGATTCCTTATTTCTTTTATAACAAAAAGTAAAAAAGTTAAACAAAAATAAACATTGCACGATCAAGTAATGATGACCCCAATTCAATCATTGGACATAAGAAAGAGTAGCTTAAAGAAAGTACCCCAAGGCTCTATTTTGTACAAAGGAATGGAGAGGTGGGATTGAAATTAATATTAGCTAGTGCTTTTTTTTTTATATTTAGTATGGAGTAATAAAAAATTTAATTTTAATCCCATCTTTATGCAATTACCCAATGCCACCTCCCTTTTGGTGTTGGAGAATCATTCCCGAAACTAGATATTTTTAGACTAAATTGCCCTCTTCTCCATCCCTCTCTCATGACTTCCCCATGATTTCACCTCTTTCCTCCTTTGCTGGCGACTTCTTTCTGATGTCCTACATGACCTCCAACTCCAATATCTTTTCCATCAAAATAAAAAATGTAAGGCGAAAATATAAAAATGAAAACAATCAAAATTAGGGTGACAAACAGTGAGAGATGTTGGTGCGACAAGGGGATCCATAGTAATCGCAAGAGCTTCGACGTCTTCCACAGTCAACCACAACATTTTTCATTCTACAATTACTACTATTGCTTGCCTCATTTCTCATCCTTCCAGCCATTTCTCGTCATCTATGGTTAACACGGTGATTTCTGAATTCATCTTTGGTTGGTACAACAATTAGATTTTCGGTAGCAGTTGTTAAACTGAACATTCCAATCACAATGCAGAAGTTGCTTGATATCCCGAATCAATTCATAGTGTCTGCTGACCAGTTTGAGTAAGAGAAGAACACATTTGTTGTCACTCTCAAGCCGCATCAAGGGATGACCTTTGTCCCAAGTGAGTTTTTTTTTTTTTCTTTTCTTTTTTTGGGCCTGAATTGTCCCAAGTGAGTCTCACACCATCACAGATTGCCCATAGCTCAGCATGAAGAATGCTACATGAGCCATTTTCATTGAGTCTTTTAAAAACACATGAAGTCCAAAAAAGAAGCTCGTAGCAATATACAATGGGCTTCCCCAGTTAACCTTTTTGGGCCACAAGAAAATCTTGGTAATTGTTTTGATTAATTAAAAATGAATTTTATATTTTAATTATTAAAAAAAAAAAGTAGATATTCATGACTAACAATTACGGATAAAATATTACATTCATAGTCGATAGTTTTGGGAAAATACTATCGGGATAATTTCGGTCTCTCTGTTGTAAAAAATAAAATAAAAAATATCTTGCGAATAAGAGACAAAAATAAAAAATAATAATAGATTAAATTTTAAAAATCTAACCTGATAAAAATTTAATAAAATGCAAAACAAAAATGATTAAAATTACCCATCCTCATGGAATCTTATGGAAAGGGTCTGAGTTCCTTAATCAAAAGTTTCTAGATTTGATCTCCAAACCTCGAGTGATAGGAACATGAAATAAGATGCTCGGGGGGGCTACCTTCCTATAGGACCTGACCTAACCCGCATGAATATTAGTGCTAAGGTTTTGATAAATATATATATATATATATATATTACTAACATATGCTTTTAACTTAAAATCTCTAAAAAAATAAAAAGAAAATATTAACTTTTGAGAACTTTTTGAAACATCAATTAGAAATAATGATAAACAATTTTAAATCCTAAAGAAAAAAGACCACAATCCTAATTTGAAATTAAAATTTTGTTGAATTATGTTTTAAGATTATTTTTAATACTTAATTTAATATTTATTATATTCATTTTTAATATTTTTGATATCCATCTTTTTAATTTTTTTCCTTTATTTTCTAAATACTCAAATTAAATTTTTTGAAAACACATCTTTATTTTTTTTTACAAAAATATTAACGAGTGTTTTTAAAAAATCAAATTTAAATATTAAAAAATAAAATAGGTACATTTAGTTTTTGGCCAAAAATTTAATTTCAAAAATATTCATATATTGATACTCTTTTAAATAAAAATTTTCGATACTAAATTATAATTAATATTTTTAGAAGACAAGAGTATCTAGAAAGGCAAATAAGTAAAGTTGATAAAAAATTAAAAAAGACAGATATAATTTCACCCATAAGAAAAATTAAACTAATTTTAAATTTGTGTGAATATTCTTTGTCAAATACTCTCTCAATTTAAAAATATAAAATATTTTTTAAAAAATTAAATATTAAATAATATAAGGTATTTTTAATTTTTTAAGGTATAATTATTATTATTATTTTAAAAGCGTCTTTATTAATAATAATTTTTTATTTATTATAGAATGTTTAATAAAGATAAATATAAAAAAATAAAATTTATTATAAAATAAATAATTATTTTATTGAGATGTGATTTAATTAAAAATACATTATATTTTGTATGGTGGTGTACTCAAATTAGGGTTACGTCTTGTTCAGTTGTTTGCCAGCCTCGTATAAATTCCCTGGGTTACTCTCGCTCTGCAATTCAATTCAGAACTACAAAGAGCTAAGCATCGGCAATCAGAAGAGCAAACATGGAGCAAACCTTCATCATGATCAAGCCTGATGGTGTTCAGAGAGGCCTGGTATTCCCTTCCTTCCTTCCGCTATCGTTTTCTGCTTATATGGTTCCCGTTTATGTGTGGTCTTCATCTGTGGTCCCTACTTGTGTTGGCTTAAATCTTAAAATTGCCTTCGGAGAATTAGGATTCATGCGAATGTCCCAAGTTGTAGGCAAAAAGGTTTTTCTTTTTTGTTTGAATGAGGGTTTCTCTTCTTTTGCTTAGTTGGGTCATTTTTACTTTTTTAAATAAATGGTTTTTCTTGATTCTATCAGGGATCATGGTTTTTCTTGGTTCTAATTTCCCGAGCATTTGTTATATACTTAATTTAGTAGCTTTTCGAAACGAAGTAGTTCCTAAAGATTCTCCCTGTTTCAGATTGGCGAGATTATCAGCATATTTGAGAAGAAGGGCTTCTCACTAAGAGGTATACTTTTGTTATCCTCATAATAGGGATTTTGTATAATTATGCTAATTTATATTAGTTCATTGCATCTTTTCTCTGAGAAAGTGACTATTTTTTCTTTTTTGCCCCATAAAAGAAAATGTTGCAGCTTCTATTTGATATTTCATTACTGAAAGCTTTAGTTAACTATATGAAAAGTGAGCTTCTCATAATTAAAGGATCAGTTTCAATTTGCCTGTAATTATGTGATTGACTGATTGTCCATGTAAACTTTTTACAATGTAAGAGTCATTTGATTTTCTTATTTCTGTTTTGTAAATACTGGCACTGACAAACAAACTTACAGTTTGTTCTTCTGTTTTGAAATAATTTGTGTTTCCTTTTTGTGAATTGATTGCTTTCAGGCTTGAAACTCATCACTGTAGACCGTCCTTTTGCTGAGAAGCACTACGCTGACTTGTCTGCAAAGCCATTCTTTAGTGGGTTAGTGGACTACATTATCTCTGGCCCTGTTGTTGCCATGGTCTGGGAGGGTAAGAATGTTGTGGCTACTGGTCGTAAGATCATTGGAGCTACAAACCCTGCTCAATCTGAGCCTGGGACTATCCGAGGCGACTTTGCTATTGACATTGGGAGGTATTGGTCTTGTTCTGTTACACATTTTTATTTGATTAATAGTGTACATTCCCTGTGCAATAGTGTACTTCTTCTGGTCCAAAATATAAGCAGCTGCATACCAATAAAATTCTTATTCTCACGAAAATATATGTTTTTCTTTTTTACCCTTCTAATGTATGATTAGTGGAAAAAAGGTCATAAATGCACAGATACAAGAATTTAGATACAAAAATATAAGGGGTAGAATGGGATTTTTATTTTTAATAAATCCATCTTGTTAGATATGTAATTGAAAGATTACTTTAGTTTTATGCTTGTGCATTAATAGGGGAATTACATCAAAGGACCATAATCTGAAAAATTTTAGTTTAAAGGATCTTAACTATAATTATTTCTGAGGATCGAAGTTACTACCAAATCTGAAGCAACACCTCGCTGTTAACATTTAAAATTGTAATGTAAATATGTAATTTTCTCAGCATGGTAATAATCTTTTTTAAAACTTAATAGTAAGTCATATGTAAACGCTGTCCTATCTTTGGTCTTTGAAAATTACTGTGGTTTTCTAGATCCATGACATGAAAATATATAAAATTTGGGTTTTAGATGTAATTTTTCCTATTCTATAATTTCAAATTGCTTGGACCTGAAGACAAAAATAATAAACAAATATATTTAAGGATTATTTGCTGCTGGTTTTGAAGCTGGATGGGCATTTAATGTGTGAAATACTTTTGATGTAGGAATGTCATCCATGGAAGCGATTCTGTGGAAAGTGCAAGGAAGGAAATTGCATTATGGTTCCCTGAGGGCCCTGTAGCCTGGCAAAGCAGCCTCCACTCCTGGATCTACGAGTAAATTATTGGGACAATGACAAATAAGGACTTCACAAGAAAATTAATGTTAAGTTGGGATCTCTTCACAACTAAGGTCCCCAAATTCAGTATTCCTTACTAAAATCTAAAAAAATAAAATATATTGATTTGGCATTAATTTTCTTAAGATGTCCTTACTTGTTACTTCTCCTAAACTATACTTCCGTCTTATATTGAAGTAGTTGCTGTAATTCTATAATGTTCTGGTTCTCTCTTGTCAAGCTCGTTTTGTAGAGTTTAGTTTAGTTAATTTCTAGTTATGCCTTTTCCTTGTTCAAGCATGGGCAGATGAATCTCAAACTAGGTCTGTTATATTTTGTTGTTTTAGTGTTTTGCTTGAGGTCTATGTTATTTATCACGATGAGGGTGCTACTTGGTCCTATTATTGCCTTTCAAAGCAAAATAGAGTTGGTTATGATTGAACACCAAGAAGCGTTTGGTTTAGCTAGTTAGAGAAGTTGAATCAGCTTATTCTGAATTTTAAGTTGAGGGCTAGGATATGCAGTCACCTTAAATAAAAGGTTAATGGTTATTTTTACTTCTTAACTTTACTTGAAAGGTTACTGGGCATTTTAAACTCAACAATTAGTTAATTCTGTCTTTCAGTGTTAGAATTTCACTTCCTCAGTACCCTGACGTTAATTATCTAATAGTGAGGCTCATATTTTTTCAAATGTTTGTTAATAATAAAGTATAATGGTTGGGCTCACTTTATATTTTTAATTATATTTGTTTATACCTCAGCGCGCGCTCTCTCTCTCTCTCTCTCATCTAGTTTTCATTCTGCAAATTCAGTTGCTCGACATTCCTCCATTGTTGGATCTCAAGTCCTTAACCTCGTCCTTGACGGTTGTTGCTGCTGCCCATTTTCCTTAATGGTTCTACCCCATCATTGTAGTTGTCCACCGCACTTGTCCTTGGCACTTTGTCGTTAGAGTGGTCTCATCCTTCGTCCTTGTGACAACCGTGCATTACATAATCCAGATCCTCCTCTTCATTGCACTGAGGAAGAAGCTGAAAGAGGGGTTGGAGGGGCACCAAAAGGAGGCTTTCAAGAGTGAGTGGCAATTAGGAATGGACCCTCCAGGAGAAAAAAGCCCCTCTAAGAAGCACAAACAATATGGCCATTGTACTTTGCTTGCACCGTTAAAAGCACCATCTTTTTCTGTTTGCTACTCTTTTTTTCTTCGTTTTTTTGAAACCGTACACATTAGGTTTAATAAGAGTAATGACGCCCATTAAATGTAAAATTTGGGAACATTAATGCCTCGTTGACATTAACATGGAAGTTAAAGTTGTTAGAACGGGAACATTTTTTTGTTTGGGCGATTGGGGAGGTGAAAATATTTGCTAGTGCTTTGGAGTGTGGAGATGATGAGGATGAGGCCGATGATATTAGAGAGAGAGAGGAGGTTGAGATGAGTCGTTAGCCGCCTTCAAGGCTTCAATTTCAATTTCAACCAGAAATGCCTCTTGAACCACTCCTATTTTGCACGCATGCCCCACTTCATCTTTGAGGGCACGGAACTGATCTTTCCATGCTAGTGATGAACATGTCAGGCACTACCTCACTCGTCAATCGCCTTCATCCTTGGAATGTTGTTGATCATCCCTTGTTCTAGTCCGTGCATGACTGTGTTATGGTTCATCAAACCATATCTATGGCTGGATTAGTGTGTGCGCAAGCAGGGAGAGGGAGAGAGAGAAGTGAGGGATACTTGGAGAGAGAAAAATGGGTAAAAAAATATCCAAAAAAAAAAATTGCTAGTCGGTGGGACCTATTAGTGACAGAAGAGGGAGATTTAACCCTAAGGGCACGAAAATTCAGATATAATTGATTTATATTTAAGTTTATGATGTCCAGTGATCTTTTGAGTAAAGTTAAGAGACAAAATAATCTTTAAATAAATATGTTAGATATTCTTTAAGTACTCATGAGACCGCCATTGATAATAGTAATTTCACATAGTAGGAGGCAGGGTTTTGGATATGTCTTTTTAAAGTTGTGGCATGGTATTTTAGACTTCCCTCTTCAAAGAACTGTAAATGTACTATGTTTGGTGAAATCAATTTTTGTGTTAACATCAGAAATTTCCGTCATATTCATAGGCGTTAGTTTGAATCTTTTGAAGTCATTTAGCAAAATATTTTCCTTTTTTTTTTCAATCTCTAGTTTTGAGTAACAGACATCTGATACTAATTTGAATTTTGAAGTCAATAATTGGCTTCTACCCCTGTAATTATATATATATATATATATATATATGGACGGGGGAAGCTTGGCCAGTTGTCCTCACGAATGAAGAAGTTTGGATTGAAACACTTTAAAACCAACGAATAATTCTGATTAATGTTATTCGTGTCCTTATTTTATTTTTTTAAAAAAGAAGCTTCATACACCGACTGCGGTAATGGCTGACTAGAGCTCCAGGTGGTTGATGTGTTAAGTTTTTTTTTTTTTTAAGAAAAAATTGCCAATCTTTTTTTAAATAGAAAAAGTATTTTAGTAATGATACATAAAACATATTTAAAAATAAAGAATTTAAAACTTGAGAGTAGTTTATACATTTTATAGGATCTTATTATTAGAGTAAGGATCTGAGTGGGCTCATATGGATTTGAACCTATAAGTCTGGTTATCCCAAAATTATTATTTTTTTTTTTACAACTGGCTCTTATTTAAATGGTTTAGGGTTGGGTTTGTAAGATCATTTTTATTATTTTTTCTTTTTAAAATTTTAATTTTTACATTATAATATTTTACATTCTTTTTTTAAAATATAAATTATAATATCCAAAAATTAAAAATAAATAATATAAATTTTAATTTTAAAGTAAAAGTATAAAAATATATTTTAAAATTTAAATTTAATTTAAAAATTAAAATTATTTTATTTTTAGGGATAAACAAAAATTAGCCACCTAATTTTATAAGACCTAAAAGGGTTAGACTTGGAAGTTCAAATATACTAAAATTTCTTTATTTTTTAAGCCCGAGTGTATGAAAAGAGCCATAAACAAGCGGCTTAGCCCATATTCTTGCTCAACTTGCGATACTTAGAATTTTATAAGGGATTTTGTAGTTATTTTGTCTTTTAACATCCTCTTCATCATCAGCGCTATTACTTGTTATATTCCCTCCCTCCTTAAGGAAATTTGGTTCCTAAATTTAAATTAAATCACCAATTTTAAGAGTAGAATAGAGGGTAATTTGATTCTTCCTTGTGTTTTTTGGAAGAATGTGTAACAAAAAAAAAAAACAAACAAACAGGGAAGAATCTAGTAAACATGAGTATAACTATCGTAGCATCAAAATTCATGACTCAATATCCAAACCAATCAGCTAAGTAAAAAGGAAAGAAAAAGAAAAGAAAAGCCTCCAACCTAATTAAACTCTAGATATTCATGATGTGTCAAAAATGATAGATCCAGATATTTTGAGGAAAAGACAAAAGAAAAATAATAAAAGATGGTTCAACTTAGCACTTACTACACAAAGAACTTATCATCACATCATGAGACAAGTTTGGGTGTTATCTTCACTAAAATAATTTGTAATCTCATCTATCACTTGAGTGAATTCTAAAGCAGATTCAAATAAAAGTGGTGTTTCAAGATCAACACTAGTAGTGTTTAAACTCACTTTTTTGGTGATGAGCTTGTGGAGCTTTTCATAGTCTCATCATCAGGTTTTGTTATTATTGACTCTTCTTCATTTTCTAGACCATTTTGACTTTGGTTCTCACTCACATTGGATTTTTTTGTATGTGTTCTTGTTCTTCTCAGATTTCTTCTTCTCGCTTGATTCCTTTGATGATCTTCTCATTTTGAAGGGAAAAAATTTCAGCATTTTTTTAAGGATCCTGTAAATGAATTAATCTAAAAATGAAAACATATATACAGCTAAAATTTTAAAATTTATCGCTCAAATTTCTGTATTTACAACTTGGAGCTTCTCATCACATGATTATTGATCATGACATCCACACACAAACTTGTATGCAAATCAATATAGAGGATTAGATATAATTAAGGAAAAATATAATTTTTGGTTTCTATAGTTTTATCGAATTTTTCCTTTAATTCCTGTAGTTTTTTTAGTATGAAAAAAAAACTATATGGACATGAAAAATAAAAATTATTCAATCTTTCTGAAATTATAAGAATTAAAAACATGGGAAAAAAACTACATGAACTTAAAATAAAATTTGATAAAATTATAAAAACTAATAATTATATTTTCTCCATAACGAATGCTGAAATCACATTATTGATAAAGTATTTCCTTTTTTCTTTACTTTTAATTAACCAAGAGTACTTCAATTGGAAAGTAGGCAACTCGCTTCCTTCAAGGAGATTATTTCAAATTTGCCTCCTAAATAATATCAAAGATTTTTTTTTTTTGGTTTATTAGTTCAAATTTTCTTCGTAAAGGAATTAATGAAAAATGAAAATCTACATACAACTAAAACTTCAAAATTTACAACTCCAATTTCTATATTTACAACTTAATAATTCTCATTTTACAAGGTTCTTAATTCTTCCTCTCCCCCCGCGCGCACAAATAAAACTCGCATGCAAATCAATACAAAGGATTAGATATAATGTTTACTATAATCGTATCATTGATGAGGTATTTCCATTTTGCTTCACTTTAGCAACCAAGACTAATTCAATTAGTAAGTATGGGACTCACTTCCTACAATGACATTAGTTCAAATTTTCCTCCTAAATAATATCAAAGATTTTCTTTTTGAGTCATTTTTGGTTTGCCCATTTAACAAAAACAAAATATCATAAATATTTTAGTGCTGAACAAGAAACTTCCTTTTCAAAATTCTATTATTAATGCAAAAAATGAAAGTAAAACAACAAGAATCATGAAAGCAATAAATAAGAAAACAGAGCAATAGAGACAATTTTCATCAACCTAACTGCAAAATTGACGAACTCTCACATAAACATGAAAATATTCATCCGGGATATCCAAAAACATGATTTAAAAGCATCAAAATGGTAGTTGGGTACAGAAGCAATACCTTATAACAGTTTGAATATTTGCTGGAGACGAAGATTGGAGTAGTGAGAATGAAAATTTGCGCAGTGTTATGTTGAACGCACTGGAATGTGTGTGTGTGTGTCTGGTGAAGTAGGACCTAACAAATAGGAAATCATTGGCTATAATGGAAAACAAGCTGAAAATAAGAAACTTTGTAACGAATCGAATCCTAATGAAAAAGGAAAACTAGGTTCAATTAAGAAAAAAAGAATTCTTATTTTGAAATGTATCCTAAATAAAATAGGAAATTGTTGTCGTTCAATGTTGTTGGGGTATTTCTTATTTGCTTGCTTTGTTTACACGTTTTGTAAATATATAAAAATATAAAGAGAATTTGTTTTGTTATTTAGATTTTTTTTATAATCAAAAGTAAAAAAAATCTAAATAACAAAAAAAAATTACTCTTATATTTTTAGATTCTTATAATTATTCTTGTCAATTAGATTCTTGTTATTCTTTAACATGTTTTTGTTATTTAGATTCTTCT